CCCAGCAAGGTATTTACGAGTTCAACGTAATGCCTTTCGGCCTAACGAACGCACCCGCAACGTTCCAACGACTCATGGATACTGTTTACTCTGGTTTGGCATGGACCTTCCTTGTCATCTATCTCGATGACACCAATATCCATTCACCGTCATTCGGAAGTCATTTAGATCATATGGAACAAATCTTTCAAAGACTACGAGAGGTAGGATTACGTCTCAACGTCGATAAATGCCACTTCTGCAAGGAACAGCTTGAGTTTTTGGGACATATTATCACACGAGAAGGAATCCGACCGGACATAACCAAAATAGAGAAAGTAAAAGACTTCCCACGACCTATGAATATTACTGAGCTATGAGAATTTTTGGGACTTGCATCCTATTACCGACGCTTCATCCAAGGATTCTCTAATATTGCCGAACCAATGCACAAACTATTGAAGAAAGACCAACGCTACGAATGGACAAAGGAACATGAAGAAGCATTCCAAAAATTAAAAGAAAAACTCATCAATGCGCCTGTATTACTGTACCCAAATTTTAAAAACAAGTTTATCCTCGCCACTGACGCATCAAAACTTGGACTAGGCGCCATTCTTTCACAACTCGACCCAGACGGAAACGAACGACCTATAGCGTACGCAAGCAGAGGATTATCACCCGCCGAACAAAACTATGCCGCTCACGAGATGGAATGTTTAGCCGTCGTATGGGCAGTGAAGTACTTCCGACAATATTTGTTAGAACAAAAATTCGACCTAATAACCGACCATGTTGGATTAAAATGGTTAATAACAAAATCAAATCCAACTGGAAGAACAATGCGTTGGATTACCATACTTCAAGAATATGATTTTGAGATCATCTACAAACCCGGTCGAAAACATTCTAACGTCGACGCACTATCTCGGATTCCCCCTAATCGAACACGATCTGACAACTGAACAAACCCCACACCAGACCAACAACAACATTGATTATGGAACAAAACCTATACAACATCTGGACAAACTATATCA